GTCATGGCTCAGCCCTTGGAGCAGCGCCCTTGGCAAGAGCTGTGCTGTGGGCTGAGTGCTGCAGGGACATCCAGGGACACCAGGGCAGTGCCCAAGGTCACACGTGCTGCATCTGCTGCCTGCACAGGGATGCAATCCCTTCCAGCTGGGAGGAACCGCTGCATTCCCAGCTCTGCTTTGAGTTTCACATTCAGGGCATCTCTGCTGCCTGCAGGTGTTGCACTATGGTCCCCAAAACTTGGAGGGATTCCTGATCTCAGTCCCCTCTCCCTGGGCTGCAGCTCCTTGCTCTGGCTGGGATGGCTGAGTGTGGATGCTGTGGGGTGCCCGTGGCTGGGATGGAGCAGGGATGGCACTCACAATGGACAGACCCAGGTGGCAAACACTGGGGGGGAGGCCTGGAACAGCAGAACTTGCTTTGCTCCAGAAATGTGTCATCTTTTGGACAGATGAGCAAGTCTGAGCTTGTCCACTTCACACAGCTCTGGAAAAGCCTTTTTCCTCCCCCTGAGCTCCCTGTGTGTGTCTGGAGAATGCTCCAGAACAGAGCTGACCCTGCTGCTGCTCTTGAGTTTCCACAAGGGACTGGGCAGTGGGGATCCTCCAAAAGTGCAGAACCCCAAGGAACAGCTTCATCTCCATTGGTGTCCATGGGCAATGCACCCAAACCTGGCACCTCCACCCCAAGGCAACTCCCTGGCAGTGACAATCAGTGTCTGACCTGGATGTGGTGGCCAGCAGCAAAGGGTTATGGTGGCAGCATCCACCTCCAACACATCGTAGCCCCAAAATTTCTCTTCCTCTCCCCAAAACCCTCAAGTGCCTCATGGTGAGGCCTGTCTGGGTGTGGCAGCTGGGGACAGTAGCCCAGCTGCCTCAGAACACGGAGCTGGGCTCCTGTTCCACACACACTCCAACAGCAGCCACATGCACAGCTTATCCCTTCCCAATTTTGGTTGCTCTTCCGCTCCAATCACAGCTCGGGACAGGCGCCAGTGCGTATCCCATCAGCGAGGGATGGTTTCAATTTTCTCCTTGGAGGACTTCTGGGCTCTGCAGGAGGGTGAATGAACCCACATGGAAGCCTCTGGCAGCTTTAGCCAGCTCCCAGAGTGACCCATCCCTGTTATCTGCAGGGATTGCCAGGCAAGGCTTTGTTTTCCATGCATGGTTTCCATCAGCCCGCTCTGCTGCTGCTGTCTTGGATAAGGGCTCAGATAAGACACCCAAGCCTTGATCCAGCAAGTGATCCTCACTTGTTCCAGTGAGGCAATGTCCTTGTGCACCAGCTCTTTCCTTCACCCATCCCATGGGGAACTTGGATGGGATGGGCAGGTCACCCCATTTCCTTTAGGACATCAGCTCCCTCTGCAAGGCTGATATCTCTACCTGTGTCCTTTGGGAGCTGCTGTGCCTCAGGACAAAGGGCTGGATGGCTCCAGGAGCTGCCCAAAACCAGGCTCTGGTGCCTGCTGCGGCGGGAGGGGGGGAAAAAGTGGGGCTGATGGGATCCATCTGGAAGGAAGCGGGATTATCCCTGTAAACACCTCTTACGCACTCGGCGCCTGCACTGGTGTCATTGTGGCTTTTCAGGACTAAACAAACCCCATCCTTACAAATTCTCAGAGGTCACAGTGTCACAGCCACAGATGTTTGAATTCCTGACTTTGGGACGTGCCTGTTAATACCAGGGGCTGCACTGGGGCTGAGGGAATCTGCCTCCCAGAGCCTCCTGCTCCCACATGGAAAGGAGCAGCTCCCTGGAAAGCCTCTGAGCACAGGGAAGGGCTGTGCTGGCCACTCCCTCCTCGCAGGGCCATCGGTGCCCAGCGCTGCCCTCTTCCCTTCCTGCTCACCTCCCAGGTCAGCAGGAGGAAAGGGGAGGAGAGAGCTGGCTGCTGGCCAGGAGCAGGGAGAGGTGGCAGGCAGTGGGTATCAGCCATCCCACACCTCTGCCCTGCCCCTGGGGGCTGCTCCAGCAGCTCCTGCAATGCAGGGAGCAGGGATGGGATGGCAACTCCTGGCTGGGAATCACAGTCAGGATTCCAGTGAAAAATCATTGCTTCACCTTCTTTCCCAGCTGAAGGTTGCCACTCCAAACCCAGCAAACTTCTCCTGGCACCAGTCCCTTCTCCCATCTTCCTCCACTGCCCAGCCCTGGAGCAGAAAGGCTTAGAGGGAGATAAACATGTGAAAAAACAAGATTTTTCTTTGCAAAAAACCCAAGATTGCTTTCAGAGACATTTCCCTGGAAAAATGGCTGTTTGGGAACATTTTCACCCACTTCCCAGAGCTGGGAGCAGCCTTTGGTGTGACTGAGGCCATTGGGAGCAAAGCTCTCCTCCCAAGGTCCCAACACCAACTCCTTGGAGCAACCCCAAAACTTCACCATCTAATCTGGGATGGGGAATGTGTCTCTTAAGTGCAGCCAGCCCAGGCTGTGGAAGGACAGAAAACACAGACAAGGCTGCAGGGCATGATGGATCTGAGCCCTGTATTCCCTCCCATCATCAACCTGCTATGGAATCCTCATCCCATCTGCTCCTTGCCCTCCCCTGGGATGGGAGGGATCCAGCCAGAGGGTGGGAACACAGCTGATGGAGGTGATGACATCTAAAAGCCAGCCTGTGGTGAGGCCCTGAAAGAACACACACAGCTTTGGAGGTGCTGAAAACCATTCCCTTCAGGAATAAACCAGGACCCCATTTCAGCCAGGCCTTCCCAAAGCAGCAGGGACTTCTGGGAGTGCATTCCAAGGACAAGTGTTTTCCTAGAAGACTTGAACAAGATGCCTTCATCTGAACCCTCACAATCCTCACTGTTCCAAGGATTTAGGTTAAAAGAAGCCTAGGAAATTTGTGTTTATTTGTTCTAGTTTGTGAATGGCGTCGCTTAGAAAGGGCTGGAAATTCAAGCTGAGCATTACAGAATTCCCAGCCTGGAGTTTCAGTCAGGATCCTTGTTTGGTGCCAGACCAAGATGTGAACACCCAAACCTCGTGGGAAGCACTTCTATGGGTAAAGGAGTCCATGTGTGCCATGACTCGTTCCCACCAGCTCCACGTCACAGGAGAACGGGACAGAGGACACCCAGCACCCTCTGCACCCCCAGTCCTTGGAGGACAAATATTCCATGTGCTAAAACAAGCACACTGTGAGTGGGCCAGGACCAAAACCACTGGGAATGTTTGAACAAGCACTGCTGAGGCTGCTGGGCAACAGCATGGAACCCTGGAAGCTTTGTCTGGAGGTGGGAAAGGCATTGGAAGCAGGCTCTGAACACACCCCATAGCATGGGGGGAAGGGTGGAAGGAAGCAGCGGGTTTTGGTTGGAATTTGGGGCTTTTTTCCTGTCTTTCTCCCTGCTGGTGTGCAAGCTGGGGCTCTGCAGCCATTGTTGTGTTCTCCGAAGAGTCTGGCCCCACAATGCAATAAAAACAAACCACAGGAAGGAAAGGAATTAGCAGGGAAAGGAAAAGCAGCAGTGGGAACAAGAACTCAGGCCCAAAATAAACCTGCATGCTGCTGCTGGGGGTGCAGGTAGGAGAGGTTACACAGTGGAGCTTAGGGATGAAGTCCTGGCTTTTTGGATTTATTGCTACAGGTGTACAGGGTTGCAAGGGGCTGGAATAACAGGAAACAGCCTCAGGAACAGGGATATGGGAAGGAACTTCTTTGAAATCTGAGGTTTCCTAGAAACTTGAGCTAAAGGGGAGCAGAGGCAGCACCTGGAAAAGACTGGGCATCGTGGGCAGAGGAAGCAGCCTCAGCTGGGGTTACCACTTTATCCTTATGGATTCTGAGGAGAAGCAGGGGTTTGGCATTTGGGGTTTGTCTCAGCTGCTCCCGAAGCCCCTGCTGTGCTCTGCCAAGGCAAATGTACACAGGATCCAACAGGAAATCTTCCCAGGGCTGCTGCTTCCCCTGCGTCACTGTCCTGGAGCTGCAGGGAGGGTGGGACTTGCTGGAGCAAGGGCAGCATGGACAGAGGGGCTGTGCCCACCTCGAGCTGCTTCCTGCTCCCAGGGAATACACTGAAAACAAAACCACCTTGAGGCTGCATCTGCTGCTCCTCTACAATTCCCTGTAGGCAAACCAGAGCCCATCCATTTTCCAAAGAGGGAATGGGGTAGGGAGAAGCTGGAAGATTCACAGCCCCAAGATTCCTGAAGGAATTGGAAGGAGTGTGGAGCCAGGTGACATCGGGCTCTTCTCCCAGGGAACAAGCAACAGGACAAGAGGAAATGGCTCCAGACTGTTCCAGGGAAGGTTTAGATTGGATGACAGAAAATTCCTTGCCTAAAAGGGTGGTCAAGCATTGGCACAGCTGCCCAGGGCAGTGGTGGGGTCCCCATCCCTGAGAGGTTTAACAGATGTGTGGATGTGACACTTGGGGACATGGGGCAGTGGTGGCCTTGGCAGTGCTGGGGGAATGGTTGGACTTGACCTCAGAGGGCTTTTCCAGCCTTACTGATTCCATGATTTCTGCTGCTGCCTGGCACAGGGAAGCCCAGGTCTGTCTCAGAAACACATCACCAGGGAGGTTTTGCCATTCCAACTCCAACAAACACTTTATTCCCATCAGCCTCACCCGTCCTCACGGAGGACAGAGCGCAGGAGGGGAGGGAGCTTTTCCAGACTGGTTCCATGTGGGGGCAATGAGGGACAACCAGGGCCATGAGGAGCCATTCCCAAATTCCACCATGACCAAGGAGTCCTTGCTAAGCTGGTGCAACTTCAAATTTCTGACCAATTTTTGGGACTTTGTAGTTAGGAGAGCCCACAGAGGCCTTGAAAGATTCTTTTCCCAATCAATTGTGGGGCCTAACACAGCCCAGTGCACTTCCAACAGCACCAGTACTCCTGCCCCAAAAGCAGACTCTGAACCAATACCACATTCTGGACTCAGAGGGAAAGGGGAAGAAGGGCTAGGATTAGAAATATCACCCCAAAACAACAGGAATTTGGAAGAAATTGACACGAAGGACGTAAAAAGCAGGAGCAGCTACGAAAATATGTTGAGATGGCCAAGAAAAGTCACATCAAAATATATTTAAAAACCAGAAATTCCAATCTGTGTGGAATTTAAAACTCCTTTCCCCCACCTATGTTTTCCTGCTCAAGGAATCTCTGTTGTTCCAGGACGTGGAACATGATAGGCAGCACCAGTTATGTCCTGAAAAAAGTATTTCCCCAAACTGTGAGCACTTCCATAATTTACAAACCAAAGATGAGCTAAACCTCAACCATCACCCCCCCTCCCTCTTTCCCCTTCTACAGTGGGCAGGAGAAAAGACTGCAAACAAATCTGACTTTGCATTTCCAGGGAAGTCCAATTTTTCCACACATCAATATCCCTGCAATCCATTGTAGACCTTCTGCACTGATCCTTGCTTCAACAGCTGCTTGAGACCTGCAAGGGAAGGGACAGCGTCACACGCAGAGCACAGCAAAGATGTCAGGATGACTTTTCCAGCACTTCTTCCCCATTCCTGAAATCCCATCCACTAAACACTCCAAGGAACTGGCAGTTCAAGGATCTGGCAGTATCAAATTCTTACCAAACAGGCTAAAGAGTGAGTCAGCCTTTAAATCCATAATAGCTCATTCTCCTGGGGTCGGCACGGCACGACAGGGAAGGGCTGGCAGGTCTCCACTGCTGCTTAAAGGGCAAGCCCAGAGGGAGCAGAGGAAGCAGAGTGGCAAGGGTGGATGTGTCACTGTTTTTCCAGAGATTACAGAGGGAGTCCCCTCTGATGAACTCAGCCTGGTCACTCACTGCCCTGGAACCCCTCAGGACACAGCTCAGAGAAGCCTCAAAAACCACTGAGCCCAAAACAGAGGGAAACTCCCAACACTGTGGGCGACCTTCAAATAACTAAAAGAAGGACATTGAGGGCTGGAGCGTGTCCAGGGAAGGGAATGGAGCACCAGGAGTGGCTGAGGGAGCTGGAAAGGGGCTCAGCCTGGAGAAAAGGAGGCTCAAGGGGGGCCCTTCTGGGTCTGCACAACTCCCTGACAGGAGGGGACAGCCAGGTGGGGTCAGACTCTGCTCAGGAGAACAAGGGACAGGATGAGAGGAAATGGCCTCAAGTTGCTCCAGGGGAGGTTTAGATTGACTATCAGTAATGAAACCAACCAATTTACTTGTACAGAAGAAAATTCCAACCTTCAGGCATGCAAATCCTTCAGGAAATCCTGCTAAAAACCAGTTTGTCTCCCTGCAACCCTTGTCCTGCTTGTCTATCTTTTTGGCTACACATTCTACTGCCCTTGAAAACCAGTGATGAGATGCATAAGGCTCCCAGTAGCTGTGTTAAAATACTGGAAAACTGCCCTGGAAGTAGTAACTGGAAGCAGGATGTCTCTCTGCCAGGCAAGAACTTCTCATGTGCCTAGCCTGATGGCCAGAGATTCCTGAACTTTTTTTAGGAACACCAGGACAAAGTGAACCCCTGGCAAAGAGCTGCTCATTATTAGAACAGGTCATTCTCTAAGGCAAATTCACTTCCTGAGGAGCCTTCAAGTCACTTTCCAGCTGCTGGGTGAGAGGATGTGGCTCCTGGGTGTCTGGTTCTTAGAAATGAAGGCAAGCTGTAGCTGGAGAAAGGTGTAATCCTGAAAAAACTGGGATTAGCACCACCCCACACCTCATTTCCCAGCAGCTCCCACACCTCTGGCAGAACACCCCCTGTAGTGCACAGGATATTTCATCATGTACCAGAGGTTTAATCAGGAATTCCAACCAGGAATCCCAACAATTGGTGCTACTGCACTTCCCTGAAGTGCAGCCTGAAGTCAATTTTTCCTTTGAAAGGTTGTTGATACCAACAAGAAGTGACAGGTTCAGCACAGAGGGAGAGGAAGCCCTGATCAGCAGTGATCAAGCCCATCTGCAGGAAAGAAGGGATATTATTTCTGTGACTCCAAAGCTGGGGGTGGTGCTCTTGGAGCCAGAGTATCTTCTGACAGCCCCAGGAGCTGGATATGTGGTCAGGAGATAAGAAATGAGGAGCACTGCCAACAATAAGGAAAAAAGGGATGTTTTGAATTCTGAAGCCCACAGTTTTCCATTGAATGTGTACACTGAGCTGCTGCCACACACAGGATAGACCTATTCCCTCATAAAACTCCTGATATCGTGGATGTTTGGAGATACCCAGCACACAGAAAGGCATCTGACTGCCTACCCAGTCACCTTCCCCTGGGAAATGTGTAATTGCTTTGGGAGGGAGAGAAACACCCAAGGCCCTGTGCCTGAGCACACCCTTGCCAGTGCCATCACCTCTGTTCCTGGATATCCGTAGAGGTGTGTGAGCAATTCTGTCAAAAATTCGGAGGCTTCTGTCACTGCTCCTTGCCCAGGGTCCTCTAAACTGCCAAGAACAACAGCTGGAATAACCTCACATGTGTTTCAGAGCTGCTGAAGCTTCTGGAAGGGCAGCAGAGCCTGGACTGAGACTCCACAGTGAGGAGGCCATTGTGCCCTGTACAACACTCTTGGAACAAGAGGGAAAGCACAGGGATAAATCCACGAGGCAGGATCACTCTAAGCCCAGCCCAGAGGTATAGAGCTCCCAGCCCAAAGAGCTGCAGGAAGAGCCTCAGGACATCTGGAGCTGCAGTCACCAGCTGGACTGCACAGGGCAGCTGGAATAGTGTGGCCAAGGCAGTGGAATAGAAAACTACTGGCAGTGGAATAAAACACCACTTGAGGAGTCCAGGAAATCCACTGAAAGAAGTCAATCCACTTCAGAAGAAACCCTGGAAGAAGTTCTGGGGATTTCCTAAAGAGCTGCACTAGTACATGCCAGGAATATCTTTGTCCCAAGGCAGAGGATGAGGCCCTTGACTCCTACCTACTCTGATGTGGAACAGCAGAACCACAGAGGCTGCTGGAGCAAAAAATTCCCTGCTGGGAGTATAGGATTTAAGGATTTACCCTCCTGGCAATTTTAGGATTCCTACATGGTTCATCAGGTTTCCATTTGAAGCTGAGCAGCAGATTTAGAGGGAGTAGGGTGGAAGGAGCTGTGGGAAGGAACAACCTTTCTCCTGACACAGTGTGACATTCCTTCCCCTCAGCAGCAGAGGGATTTCCACAAGTCTTCCCTCCAAGAAAGTAGCAGCAGGGGCTGGAAAACCCTTTGTGATCCCATTCCAGCTGAGGCAAAGCAGACAGAGGCTGAGCCCAGCAAGGCTGTGGGGTCAGACAGATGGGCAGCACCAAAACAAAGCACCTGCACACTTGCCAAGAGCTGCATTCCAGCAGCAGCACATCCCAACCTCAGCAGCCAAGCTCCCTGGCTTCCAAGGGATGTGGGAGTCCATCACAGGCCACCAGCCAACTGTGCTATGTTGGACAAGGGGCACAGGTACAGGAGAGCCCCTCCTGACTGCTCCAGCCCCTGGAGGGGCTGTGCCAGGGTCAGCCTGAGGGCTCTGGGCACTCACCTTCCCGCTGCTCTGGTGTCAGCTGCTCCTTGGGGAACTCCACATCAAAGGTGATTATTAGGGAGCCTTTGATGTTGTTGTTATCAAAGTTTGGAAGCCCTTCTCCCTTCTTCCACAGCTTGGCGCCGGGTTTTGTGGTTTTATCCCTCACAATGTGAACCTGGAGAGAAAAGGAAAGTTAGAACATTAGTGGTGTTACAGGATCACTGAAGGTTGGAAAGATTTCCAAGATCACCGAGTCCAAGCCATGACTGATTCTGACCTTGTCAGCCAGAACAGAGCACTGAGGGCCACATCCAGATGTTCTTTGGACACATGGGCAGTCCATGTTCTGTGTGTGCACCCCAGTACTCCAACACTCTTTCCAACCCACTGGAAAGCTCCAACTGGCATTGACTCCTTGCCAAAACCAGTGATATCCCATGGCTCCAGGCTGTTTCACTGGACACATGCCAGAACTAACACCACCCTCTGCTGCTGGGACAGCCTGGAAGTGAGGCACCCCTCATTGGCCTGGAAATGCTCCAACAGAGGGAATACTGTAGATAACCAGATCCTAAGCAAGCCAACCCTCAGCACAGAGCTGCAGGTGAAATTTGGGATGCACACAACACCCTGGGCCTCACCTTGTGCCCATCCAAGTGGGCAATATCCATCTCAAAGCCTGTCAGTGCCTCGACCAGCGAGATTGTCACGTTTGTGTACAAGTCATCTCCTCTCCTTTCAAACACTGGGTGCCTGTGGAAATAAGAGCCATTGAACTTTACTCCTTCCCCAGAGGGGAAACAGGTCCTCGAGCTTCTTTCCTTCAATTTGGGAGGTTGGAGAAATCATAAATAGGAGGGGAAGTGAGGAATGAATCAAATTTAGCTTCATTTTCCTGTATAAGATATGCACTGATAAATGCCTTTTCTATTTCTAGGGCACTGAGTGGTGAGGTGTGGCAAGAAGTCCTGACTCACACAGCAATTTTCTTAGTAGTGCATTTCCTTACAACAGCAAGATTGTGTGTTAGGGAAAAGGAGATATTTGTTCTGAATCACACAAGGTGAATTCAAGCCAAAAACAATAAGATACTTTGATAATTCTACTTTTAACAGCATCAAGTCCAGCTCCTCCAGCACCATGAGGGCTGAGCATCCTGCACAGCCCTGAGTGCCAGACCTGCAGCTGCCCTGCTGAAGGACAAGCTCCATCTGGCCAAACAAGAGCCCAACTAGGCCAGAGACTTACTTGAGAACTTTTATTCGGAAGCGCAAATCTCCTGGCTCCCCATCCACGTGGGGCTCACCTGTGGGGGAGAAAGAAGAGTTTGGTTTAAAGGAAATAGTTTGGAATGAGTGGAGAGACAAGCAGGATATTACAGTTGAAGGAAAAAAAAAAACAACCCAACTAATTGATCTTTAGATGACCAAAATTCTGCTTTAACATCTCCTAAAGAGCTTAGGGCTTTATAGGTGTTGCCGCAGCAAGGTCACACCTCTGCTTTTCTGGAAGATCTGTCTCATGTTAATGATGTCCTTTAGCCACAGAAGGGCAGAGGGGATCCCTTCAAAGCCAAAAGCTTGGAACAGATGCTCCTGCTCAGGTGTTGTGCATGTCCCCACTCCCAGCTAAGGGAGTGGAACTGTTAGGACTTAGGAACACGCTCCTGGATTTCAGCACATGCAGAGAACACTTCCAAGCACATGGGAACCATGTGCCAGAGAAGCACGGAGGAGAAGCAGCTCAGAGCTGAGCACACACTCACCTTCCCCAATGAAGGGATACTCCATGCCATCCCTCACCCCTGGCTCTATCTCCACTTCCAGTGTCCTCTCTTCATTCACCAGCCTGAAAATGGGAAGACGAACCCAGCACTCAGTTTGCAACTTGATTTATTTATTTCAGCTTTATCTCAACTTTTAATTTGTGTCCCTGGGGTAAGGAGAGCACCCCCACAAGCTCACACATGCTGTCCTTGCTCACATCTAAACCTAGAGAGTCAGAGCTGCCTTCCTGGTGAGCTGAGACTCAGAGAAGTAGAGAAGGCAAAGTTGAAAGCTCCCAAATACACAGTCAGCACCAGGGGGTGTGATGGCATTCCACTTCAGCATGGCATTCCATATCCAGCTGTTCCCAGCTGTGTGCTCCCCGTTCAGATCTAGCTGTGGAACGTTGTGCAAGGAATAAAAGGCTGAAAGGGGAAATTTGAGAGCTCTGCACACAAGCGATGTAAGAATCAAGAGTGGCTCCCTGGAAATGAGAACCCGGTGTTAATCCTTCCCGAAGTCCCCAGCTCTTCCTGGGAACACAGGCGCGCTCCCCCATCTAGCGGTGGGTTTTGGAATAAACCTCCCTACACTGACGTCCCTACATAAAATCACGGAATTTAGGATTCTGTGGAGCAGGAAAGAGCACCAAACTCACTTGACGTTGGGACACTCATCACAAACAACTTCCTGAGTCATCTGGAAGCGCCCAGGGCCCAGCTGGGTGGTTCTCATCTCCTGCCTGCAGTTGCATTTCCGTTTGCCAGGTGCCTGTCTTGCCACTGGCTTGTTCCTGACAACCTGCAGGGAAGAGGGAGAGGCTGATGTCAGTGTTCCTGGGTCTCCACAAGGGCCTGGATTTCTCTGAACAGAGAATTTGGGGTGGAAGGGACCTTAAAGATCACCTAATTCCAGCCTTGTGCCACAGGCAGGGACATGTTGCTGTGTGGTGCTGCCACAATAGCTCCAAATGCGGCCTTGGCAAAACAATGACAAGTTTTCACTTTGTGATCACATGATAAACACCAAAAAACAGAGTGATGTCTCTCTGACATCACTATTGCCATTCTCTTTCCACACAGGAAAGGTAACACTACGTGGGACACCTCACACTTTGGTTATGACACTTCCTTGTCCCACACAAGGGGGAAATTATCTGAACACAACACAAAATCAACCAGTGGAAAGCCAACATGCAGACAGGAGGGATTGTCAGCACCACAGATGGAGCTTGCTTGAAAGAAAATAATAATTTTCCACATACTCTTCTCAGTTATATAATCTGGAAACTTGCAGTGACATGTTTGGCCATAGAAGGAGACTGAAAAATCATCAATGTGGTTTTACAAGAATTACAAAATGGATTTGAAGCTTATCAACAGCCTCTCAAATATTCCTTAATTCTACAGAGGGACAATTTGCACCTCTTTCAACTGGGCTGCTGCACTAATCAAGCTGAGTTGCTGAGTGACAACCAACAATTCAGTATTATCACATTTATGGAGACACTGCCAGATGCAAAAGATGAATAAATGTGTGGTTTCTTCAGTAAACTACAGGAAACAGCACCACAACATCCTCCACTGCCAGCACAGAAACGCAGCATCTATTTCAGCTCTAGTTTTTGGGAGAAGATATTCTGTACTCTGGTCAGGCACCTCAAACCTGGGAACACAAGAAACACTGAGACAAATAAACTTACTTCTACAAAGTTTCCTGAATACACCTCCTCCAGTGTGACCTCCAGGTCCACGATGATGTCACTTCCCCGGGGAATATTCCTGTCCTGCTGCCGAGGGCTTCCTCCAAACATGAATCCAAAGTCCCCAAAGAAACTGGAGTTAAGCACACTGGTTAGCTCAGGAAGGAATTCTAGGAAAATGCTTCTACTCCACTAAAAAGCATCCTCCTGGCAGTCCTAAAGCTCCAGAGTAAACCCAGAAACCTCTTTTTGTTAGACAACTAAAGTCTTCAAACACAGCAGCCATTTTGGAAGAGTTTTCTGCACTAAAGAAAATAAAATTTGGAGCAGAACTCTCAAAATCTGACCTCTCCACACTGCACTGCTGCTCAGCTGCCACCACTAAAAGGTGTAAACTCTGAGTAGCACTGCAAGGTACTGCTAGCAGGTTGGTTTTTAGTAGTTTAAAGACAAGAGGGATGAGGAAAACTCCCTAGGAATTCTGCATAATGTCCCTCAGAACAGAGCAGAGCAGAGCAGCAGTGCAAGTCCTCATCCAGTATTACAAGAACTGAGCAACTTCTGGAATAATTTTAGGAAATTTATCCAAAGAGACAGAAAATCAGGTTCTGTCCAAGCTATGTGCAAGTGCCTTTGGTTTTTAATGCTCCAAATTCTACAGAGGCTGTGCAAGTAACCACAGCATTGCTTTGCAGAAGGCAAAGTGTCCCCAAAGCGATGTGTGACAATGGGTCAAACCCCAATCACACACAGATAACCTGAGAAAGTTTCCACATGTTTGAAGCAGGTGCTGCACCTGAAAAATCACCCACAGTGCCCAGAGGTGCCCATGTGGGAAGTCTCTACTGGATCCTGCTTGCAGCAAGGAGTGGGGCACACCAAAACTGGAAATTGCATGTAATGTATCTCTTCAAATTCTCAACTTGCACATCAGCAACCTTGGGCCAGGTAAAACTCCCATCAAAAGGGTGCTTGAGCATCACAGAATCAGAGCAGCAGCTGCAAAGGGGTGAAAACAGCCCAAAGGGGTTAAAACTCCTTACTGGGAGAAGATGTCTCCATGGGAGCTCTGGTGGCCATCCTTCAGGCCCTCCTCTCCATAGGCATCGTACTGCTTCCTCTTCTCCTCGTCTGACAGCACCTGGAAAAGGCAGAGATGGAGCAAAGGCTCACCTGGAGCTCAGGGGAGGTGTTGGACAAGGCTCTGAGGGCCCCCAGCACTTTTCACTGGGGACTCTGCAGGAGCCAAGCTTGCTGTGCTGTCTGCAAAAGTTAAGCCCATAAAAAGCACATTTTGTTTATTAAAAAAGCAAGAGCAGCCTGGAAAACATAAACATTGAGTTTATCTTAAATATCAAAAAAAGAATCACAAGGAATAATTCAAATCCTACAAAGCAGGACATGCTGAGACAAATAATCACATACCACCATGCCCCAGCCATGACTTTTAAGCACTGATTTTATTTCCTAAGTTGTGATCTTTGCTCTTTCCTGCCTCAGAGATCCAGAAGTCTCTGGTCACATTTAGTCTTCCTTGCCCTTCTTCCCTCATTGATCAGATTTGGAAAAGCCAGAGTTGGCAGGTTGGCTTTCAGAAGGCTGTAGAGGAGTGGGAACAGATGGAGAAGCAACTCAACAGGTGGAGAAGCAGCTAAAAGATGAAAACCAGCTGAATTTGGGGTGTTTGGAGAAGCTGTGGCTGCCCCATCCCTGGAGGTGTCCAAGGCCATGTTGGATGGGGCTTGGAGCAACCTGGGATAGTGGGAGGTGTCCCTGCCCATGGCAGGGAGTGAAAATGGATGAGCTTTAAGGTCCCTCCCAACTCAAACCATGCTGAGATTCTGTGGAATCATAACCACTGATAAATGTTAGCAACAAGGGAAAATTAGCAGTGACCCAGCAGGTAAGGGTTCAGTTCTCCCTTTGCACTTGAGATTCCCATGGAAACTCCTCCCAAACCCATCCTGAGACTCATCACTCTTTGCAGAAGAGTCTCAACTCCCTCTCCTGGGATCAGTCTCGTTCCTGGTTCAACAGCTGAATTCAGAGCACACAGCTCTGGGCTGGAATCACTGAGCCTGTGAAAATGAACACACTGAGCAGGTTCATTAACCTATTTTCCCCTCAATTTTTTTGGGAAAGCTTTGCCATAATCAGCTACCCAGACCTTGAACAGCAGTGCTGTTAACAGAGAGTTTATGGTGAGGAAAATTCTGCTTTATAAGGGACACCCAATTCTGGTTCCATTCTGCCCAAAAATCAACCCACTGTGTCCCACAGATAGTTCAGCAGAAGGATTTCCAAGCTGTCCTGGCTAAACACAGATAAAAACCTGGCAGGGAGGGCATCAAAAGCTTCCTCCAAACCTCACACACATGAATACTGGATTTCTGATGTGATTTTACAGACATTTTTTCACTCAGCTTTTAAATAGAAAGAATAATCTCAGCTGCTGGCAAACACTTAAACCAGCTGGAACTCGAGGAAGAGGCAGAGGAATCCTTTGCCAGCAGGAAGTGCCAACAAGATCCCAGCTCGCAGAAGCAGCACCAAGCTCACAGCTCCACCAATCCTGAAGTGCTCACAGTTCCATCCTGAGGTGCTGCAAATGATAGAGGATTACTTTTTCCCACAGAAAATGTCTTTATATTCATTTTCCCTGTGATAATAAGGCCAGTTTATGTAAGTCAGAACTAAAAAGGCGTCCCAGCTTTTAGAGAAAACAAAAGTGAACAGTTTTCTTTCTCAACACAAAGAAACAAATGCCAACTGGTTCTCTCACTTCCTCTTTTGGGGAATATTTGCATATCTGAGGAGCACCAGGGATGGAAGCAGGAGCCAGGCTGCAAACCCTTTTTCCTGCAGCTGGGTTTTTCCCAGAGGACCCCAAACTCCCACCCAAAGAGCAATTCACTGCTAGGAATTTCTGCTAATGGAATTTTTCAGCATCATCTTCCTCTGGGCCTCTCTGCTGCACAGGAGGGAGCAGGAGCAGATGGAGTGACAAAAAGGACAGAAAACATGGAGGAAACAGCCTCTATTCCATCACTGGTATGTACAGCCAAGGAAAGCAGGCTTTCACTTCACACCTTTGGGCAATACAATGATCTGGATTTGATTTATTTAATGCACTGGGCTATTAGTGTGGGGGATCATTTGCATGCCACAACATCATCATGGAATAACAGGAATCCTGCTGTGTCCCACAATTACTTTTCTCACTTAATGTCCTCTAAACCCAAGGCCAGCCCCTTTCACTTCCCATCAGCTCAGACTGATCCCAGCCTGGCCCTACACACACTTGGAGCTGCTGCACCTCCACTTCTCCCCTGAGGAACTGGGAATAAATTCCAAAGAACTTTAATCTGGTGCCTTGGCTTCCTCCTGGCTGAGAGAGGTGAGAGGCGTTGGATTGTCCTCTGGCAGGAGCAGCTCTCCAAGCAACCTGGTAGGCTCTGGATCTTTGTTTTTTATTTGGGAGAGTATCTGGAACTGGATGTATTAACAGGGGCAGGATGGAATTTGGTGTAGTAATAGGGGGAGGATGGAAAGCAACCTGCCATTCCTTGCAAGGTCTTTATCCGTGTTTAGCCAGGACAGCTTGGAAATTTGATTTGGTTGTTTTGGGCGAAATGGAACCAGAATTGGGTGTCCCTTATAAAGCAACTTGGTATGCTCTGGATCTCTGTTTTTCATTTGGGAGAGCATCTGGAATTGGTTATATTAACAGGGGAAGGATGGAGTTTGGTGTAGTAATAGGGGGAAGATGGAAATTGATGAGGAGATAGAAGGAAGGGAATTTGATGTGGAAGGTGTCCCTGCCCATGGTGCAGGGATGAAATGAGATCATCTTTAAGTACCTTCGAACCTAAACCATCCTGGGATTCTGTAACAATAAGAGATGTGGGATAGAATTCAATATATTAACAGGGGGAAGATGGAATTTCACATGGTAACAGGGGAAGAAAGGATTCCAGCTGCACCTTGGGGAAAAGCCTTTAATTCCCTACAAACCTCCTTTCCCATCCCCAGAACGCTCCAGGATGAATCCTACGAGCTCCATCCCACCCTTCCCAGCCCGGGGAGGCCATTCCCGGCTCCCTTAGGGACACTCCCGGCTCCCAGCCCCACCTCGTAGGCAGCGCCCAGGTCCTGGAACTTCTCCTGGGCGCGGGGGTCGTCGGGGTTCCTGTCGGGATGGAGCTGCAGCGCCAGTTTGCGATAGGCCTTCTTGATGTCCTTGATGGAGGCGCCGCGGGACACCCCCAGGATCTTGTAGAAGTCTCTCCTGCCGTGGGGGGAGAGAGAAGGTGAGGGAAGGGGAGCGGGGAGAGCGTGAAGGAGAACGGGGATGGGAGAGGCGGGAAGGGAGAGGGGGAACAGGGGAGCGATGAGGGGAAGGGAGCGGGGTCCCGTCAGCGCCGCGCCCGCCGACCCTCAGGAGGGGGAAGGCCGGTGCTGAGGCGGAGCCCCCGGCCCATGGGCGCGGCCCGGCGCACTCACCCCGCGGCGGCCTCCCCGCAGAGGCACAGCAGGAGCAGGCAGAGGCGGCCGATCCAGGCGGGGGCCATGGCGGGCCCGGCCCTGCCGGCTGAGGGGGAGCGGCGGGAGCGGCGCGTCCCGGCGGCTCCGCAGGGCCCCGGCCCCAGCCAATGGCAGCGCGGGGTGTTCCACGCTAGCCAATCCGAGCGCGCCGCCGCGCAACGCCGGCCAATGGGCTGCTCACACTTCACCGCCGCCGGCCAATCGCCTGCCGGAGCGTCGCAGCGCAGCGCGCCGGCCACGCCTCGCCGCCCCTCCGGGGTGACTTCCTTCCGAACAGCCAATCAGCGAGCGCACCGCTTTTTCCCGCCCTCGCGCTGTCAGTCTCAGCCAATGGGCGGCGGCTCCCGGCGGGCGGGAACGGCCGTCTCTATGGAGCCCGCGGCGGAACTCGGAAGTGGCGGCGGCGGCGGCGGCGGTGGCGATGACGGCGGTGCCGGTGGTGCCGGTGGTGCCGGTGCGGCTGTGGGTGCGCACGGAGCCGTTCCTGGTGGGAGCGCTCCCGGCCCCGCCGCCCGCCCGCCTCGCCCCGCACTACCTGCGCAAGGCGGCCGCCTACGCCCGCGCTCGGGCGCACCAGGGCTGCTTCCCGCGGCTGAGCTGGCCCAGCTGGCGGCACCTTGCCTGCGGGAAGCTGCTGCTGAGCCCCGACATCGCCTGGCTCTACTTCGAGCTCTACCGCGGCCTCCGCGGGCCCTCCCCGCCGCTCCGCCTGCGCTGGGCCGAGGCTGAGGCGGCCTGCACCAGCGCCGAGGAGCTGGAGTGGGAGCGGAGCAAGGCAAGAGCCCGAGCCCGGCCTAGGGCAGGGGGAGCCCCGACCCCGCCGAAAGGGGAGCCCGGCCCAGGCTGACAATTCTCTGTCTCTCCCCAGCTCTCCGTGGACACGCTGCAGTTCCTGCTGTTCCTGTACGTGCAGCAGTTCCACAACGTGTCCCTGCGGCGCTCTCTGCTCGGGGACGAGTGGCCCAGCCCCAGGACCAAGTCTCCCTGCCTGTCAGAGAAATCGGGCACCGGGAATAAGGTACTTGTGCCTCCGGGATTGTCCGTGTGCAGGAGGAGCCTCTTCGCTCTGAGGGGGCTTGGGAAAGGAGCTGGTTTGTTCCCCGGAGGGTTTCACCTGTGAGCAGAGCTCCAGCTGCAGAGCTCCTGTTCCATAGTAAACAAAGGGAAGTTGCTGTGATCTCTACAGTTTATAAAAAGCTTCTTTAAATTTTTCCATGAGGCTTTCCTGGAGTCCAGAGCTGACTGGATATTCCCTGAGAGTCTTGGCAAATCTCCTTTTGAGAAGCAACAGTCTTTTTGTAAGGCAAGCAGGGAGCTCTCCTCATGCTCATAGTGCCTTTCCCATGATCCAGTGTGGAATTTTGGATTCCTGGGTGTCACATTTTGTTTCTGAAAGGGGAGTTGGTTGTTCAGCTGTAGATCAACCACATGGAAATGCTGTTTCCTTTTAAAATACTGCCAGGTATTTAGGAAGGAGTGAATTGGATGTGTCCTGTGGTCAGCTCTGTGTGGGAGAATGCAGTATAATTTGCAGCCCTGAGTAAGGCTATGCCAGCCTCTGGAATTCTGGCACAGATGTGCTGCTGTGAGTGGGATAAGCTGGTGAAATGTAGCTTGGGGCAAGCTGGAGTGATTAAAATAGGGGCTGGATAACTTTATTCTGAACTGTTGAACGAAAGTGGTGAGGACAAGGTGTAATCACAGCCCTGTGTTCCTGCAGCAAAACTCAGCTTCATGAAGCTCTGCCAGAATTGCAGTCTCCTTTTTTTTTTGGGCTGGAGCCCTTTAGAATTTGAAATAAGGATTCTTTCAGAGGGCTTGGTTTATTGGAGAAATGACCCTCTGCTTTTTATCCTGGCACTCAATCCTGGCTGCAGGGATTTTCCAGTGGAGCAGCTCCAGGACCTTGAGTGTCAATTATTGATTTGTGTCCTCCCTTTGAATGCCAGCAGCAGTGGCCTGGGTTTGTGTAGGGCTGTAGAAGAGTGTGGTGCTGGTCTCTAGCATGAAATACTTGGTACTTGAAGTTAGAATGAAATGCTTTGAGTTTTTGGGAGGAGGTGTCTTTCCAGCTTTGTGAGAACAGAGCAAGAGGAATGAGCACTGTGACTGACTGGCTTCCCTTGTTTTAGAAGGATTCTGAGCAAGGATTTGTATATATGATGTCCATATAGCTTCTCAGCTTGGAGAATTCACCCCTCATGTGTTTTCCTGCCCCTCCAGAACGAATACTTGGTACTTGAGTTGGTATTTTGAGTTTTTGGGGTGTCTTTCCAGCCTTGTGAGAGCAGAGCAGCAGGAATGAGCATTGTGCCTGACTGGGTTTCCTTCTTCTGGAAGGATTCTAAGCAAGAATTTGTATATATGATGTTCGTGGAGCTTCTTGGAGAACTCACCCCTTGTGTGTTTTCCTGCCCCTCCAGAACTGGGACGACCAGGAGCACCTTGCCTTTGTTCAGAGCCACCTCTTGGATATCTTGGAGCTGCTGCTGGAGCCAGAGCAGCTCTCAGCCTCCTCCCATTCCAGCTGCAGCAGCCTGGTGTCCTTGGAAGCCGTGTGTGCCCTCAGCTTCCTGCTGGAGGGCACCGTCAGCAATTCGGGCACCGTCCGTCCCCTGCACAAGCTGGCACTCAGGCAGCCCTGCCATGGCCTCAATGGGTACTCCAAAGGTTCCAGAACCTTCTCCCTGCCCAAGCTGGAGAGCTGGCTGCGCTCCTCCCTCACTGCCAATCCCCTGGGAATAACTGTCTGTGTCAATGCTGGCAAGAATCTCGTATGGGCACAGCAAGGTGGGCAAAACTGCTGGGGAGGTGTTGTTAGACAGACAGAAATATGGGAGAAATGGGGGTATGGGGGGACATTGGGATATGGGGGGACACTGGGATTGTGGGGGGAATGGAAATATGTGAGCAAAATAGAAATATACAGAAATATATATTTCTATATACAGAAATACGGTAAGTATGAGTATGGAAAAACAAAAGCAGAAGTGCACAGAAATGTAGAAATAAATATATAAAATAAATATAGTAAATATATAAATATAATAAATACCATAAAGATATAAATATAATAAAAATATATAGAAATAAATAGAATTACAAAAGTGTGGGGGGAGATTGGGATGTGGGGAGACATTTGGATGTGGGGGGGGAATGGAAATATGGGAGCAAAATAGAAATATATAGAAATATATAGAAATATACAGAAATATGGTAAGTACGAGTATAGAAAAACAAAAGCAGAAGTGCACAGAAATGTAGAAATAAATAGAAATAAATACCTTAAAATAAATATAATAAATAAATACATAAATACAATAAATATATAAATAAAATATAAAATATATGATAAAGATATAAATATAATAAAATATATAGGAATAAATAGAATTACAAAAGTGTAGATAAGTTGAAAAATACAAATAGAGGAAATTGGAAATACAGAAATAAATTTAGAAATACAGAAAAATAAATCTAGATAAATAGTATAAATAAAATTTAAAGGAAAAAAAAAACCAGAAATGAGAATTCATCTCTTGTTGCTGAGCAGGGATCTGGCAGTGGGGTGGGACCTGGTGTAGGTTTCCTTGTCTCAATCCAGCCCCTCTCCTTCAGGAAGATGGCAGTGAAGTCAAGACACTTTCCCCTTTAGGATAAGGAATTTAACTCAATGTTTTGTTTCCCTGACTGCAGGATCCCAAGAGGGGCAGGGAGGATGGGGAAGGGCTTAAGGATTGCGTCCTAGAGGGAGCATTTCCCTTTTTAAAACACACAATTCCTGCTTAAAACCCACCCTCAGGATCTTCCTGCTGAGCTGAATCTTGTGTTCAGCAACAGGCTTGTGGAACTGGAGATTCTTGAGCTTGTGGGAGGCTTTGAGTTCTCCTAAGTAATCTTGAAGTGGTTTTGATCCTTCAGTGTCTCTCAGTTTCTGAAATTTCTGGTGCCTTATGCTACTGACCTGCCCAGGAGGCATCAGGGATGGTGTGACTGCTGTGGGATGTACCATCCTTGACCTTTGGGGCTGATGATTTTCCTGAAGGGATTGCCCCACTCAGAACTTCTGTGGGCTTTGTTTTGCAGGGGGAGGATCAACCAGGAAAGCCAAGATTGCCTGCAGTGCCCGGGTGGTGCCAGAGGTGTCCCCCCTGGTGATGATGAGCCACGTGTACAAGCAGACCGTGGCCAAGAGCTCGGACACCCTGGTGGGGGCTCACGTCAGCATCTGTCGCTGCCACGATTCCTTCATTTACCTCCTGTCCCCTCTGCGGTGAGTTTGGCTTCTCCTGGACACAGCTGGGCTCCTGGCTGACCATGAGTGTGTCCTGGGGGCCAGGAGGCCAGTGGGATACTGGGGGATGTTAGGAAGAGCATTCCCAGTAGGTCAAGGAGTGATGCTGCCCCTCTGTTCAGCCCTGTGAGGCACAGCTGGGATGCTGGGTTCAGGTCTGGGTTCCTCAGGAGGGGCAAGGAGCTCCTGAGAGGGTCCAGTGGATGGTATGGAGATGATGAAGGGAGTGGAACATCTCCCTGATAAAGGAAGGCTGAGGGAGCTGGGTCTGGTTAGTCTGGAGAAGATGGATCCCATCAATCCATACAGAGATCTCCAGGTGGTGCCAGGCTTTGCTCAGCGCTGACAGTGACAGGAGAAGGAGCAATGGCCATAAACTAAAACACAACAGAACTTCCTTCTATTGCAGCTGCCCAGGGAAGAGGTGGAATCTCCCTCTCTGGAGACATTCTAAACCCACCTGGACACGTTCCTGTGTCACCTGCTGCAGGTGACCCTGTGGTGGGGTTTGCAGGGATCCCAGGATGAGGGCAGAGATGAGAATCTTGATTCCATGTTTCAGAAGGCTGATTTATTATTTTATGATATTTATTATATTAAAAGAAAATTATATATTAAAACTACACTAAAAGAATAGAGAGAAAAGGATTTCATCAGAAGGCCAGCAAAGGAAAGAAAAATGATAATAAAATCTTGTGACTGACCAGAGAGTCCGAGGCAGCTGGACTGTGGTCATTAATTAAAAACAACCACATGGACCAATCAAAGATCCACCTGTTGCATTCCACA